ATTGATTTTTTTCCATTTCTAAGTAATTTTGATTTGATTTCCTCTATGTTCGTGATGTTGTCGTTTCCATTAAATTGCTGTTAAGTAAATTTGACACCTAAGGATTCCTGTCCCTTTGCAGGCAACAAAAAGATAATTTCATTTAAGTTTTGTGTAAATAGAGTGAGTTAGAGCAACAGTATAACAATGTAAGGTTTATGGTCCTTATCCCGGTCTGGCCCCGTTTGAATTTTTCTTTCACAACACTTATTCTGATTCTTTTTTGGGGGGGTTTTCATAAAAGTTTTATTAGAGATGGTTTTCTATTCAGGAATGACTTATCAAATCTATAGTCATTCTAGGATATAGTAAGTTATATTAAGTGGAATACGGATCCTTGATAGTTCAATTATTTGCATGTAATTCAATGTTTTCTATTTATAAAGTTGATATGGAAGTTGATTATCTTAACTTCAACAGTGCGTATATGATGCTTCTCACAAATGTTTACTTTCACAACAAATATTAATTAGCTGAGCAAACAGTCAAAATATTTATGTTTTTAATTTTTGTCAAATTAACAACAAAAATGCAACAACAAAAAAAGGTGGCCGGATGGTGCAGTGAATAGCGCACTTGCCTTTCACCAAGGCGGCCGAGGTACGATTCCCCGATCAGACGTGAAGAGGTATTGGGTCATCTGCCGACTACGGGGTTTTCTCCGGGTACTCTGGTTTCCTCCCTCCGGACCAACAAGAGTGGTTAATATAAGTTGAAATAACTTATTACATAATTTTTGTAAAATAAATAAAGTTGATATATATATAAAAACAATACTAAACAGTATATAATATAACAAAACTTAAAATAGTATTGAAGCGTGGGTAGGTTGCCAACTTGTAAACATGTTTTTTACATTGTATCACTCTTTGCAGTTAAATAACTTTCATCTACTTTGTATTGTAACATTGCCTTTTATTAATGTCGATGTCTAGATTGCACTTTATTCACCTTTGGTTTAATCCATAACTTTTTACGCGTAGGCGTGGTTTTGGCGATATTCACGGCAACGTTTGTTTCGCAAAAACACAAATCATTCGACAATACACATAAATGCATTCCGACCAATCGCACCACAAAAACAAAAAAACCAGTAGAAGATACAAGTACAAACTGGTTTTGCTGGCCACAAATCACATCTGCATACCTACCTGTTCGATCAGTCCATACATGTCTGCTATGTAATGTCAAGGTAATAACAAAGACAGATCGCCTTTTAGAAACAGAACTGTTACTTTCTTTAAATCTGCTGAAACTGATACTGCGAGTCATGCTAAAAATGTTTGAACCTACAAAAATATGACTTAACTGTATTGTGACTATTAAAAGGTCACTTTTTCTGTTACTTGTTTGGATGTGTATATGTTTGGAATGAAAAATGGAATCCTTTATGGAGCATGGAAATAATTATGTTTGATAATGCAGCTTCTCGTTTTCGTTTATGTTTAAAAAGTACAGACTAAACTTTTCGATTGTGTGAAACGTTTAACACTTTTAAATCATTATCGACATTCCCGTGTCACATTACCCGTAACGAAAATTTATTTGATCTAAACAGAAACTATTTACTGCTCCAAAAATTTAGGATGAAACAAAAGTATCCGTTTGACATGCAAATCCTGTTTTAAATTAATTCAATCCCCATATGCACAAATAGAGTGCGTTCATGTTTAATTGGTGTTGTCTTGTATTTGTACTTGATAGAAAAAATACAAAATTATACAAAAGGGAGAAATATAGAACACATAAATTGTTCAACAATGGAACCCCCTTACCACGGGACGAACGCTTATTATGTCTAGGTCATTCCCCCTCCCCCCCCTCATATGTGTAGTAACAACAAAACCAGCAGGAACACTGATAAGAAAATTGAAAGTATTTAATATTTATATCCCACAAGGAAAAAAGATGTTTCTCAAAGTGTCATGATTAATTCTTTTTTTCATATTTTCATACCTTTGTTGCATCGTTTGTATTAGACCATTACGTGAAACAAGCATGTGGCCATATGATCAGTTTGTTGAGAACACACGATGAAACATATTCCGTCTTTGCGTATTGCAGAGTTATCTTCTCTTATGAGCAGGTATTGATTGTTACGTCATTGGTTTGTGTGAGAAAATTACGTCGTTTTCTCAAAAACTGATGACGTCACTCTCACAAACAAATGACGTAACAATCAATACCTGCTCACAAGAGTAGATTACTCTGCAATACGGAAAGACGGAATATAAGCCATTGGAAACGTCCAAAGAAGAGCCATTAAATTGATACCGGGTATGACAGACCTGTCTTACCCAGCGATACTTAAGATAATGCAGCTCCCAACTTTAGCTAACAGACGCGTCCGGGGAGACATGATAGAACTTTTTAAAAACATGACAGGAAAATATGATCCCGAAATGTCCAACTTCATGTCACAAAAACCCCAAACAATACTGAGGTGCGTTCGGTAGCGAGAACGTTCGCGAGCGTTTTGACAGTTTGCTCAAAAAGTACACTGTTTGCAGCAAACGGTCGCGAACGCTCCAGACCACCCGCGAACGCAATTAGGCGGTCACTCACCAGAAAACCAAGATGGCGGAGTGGTAAGTGAAACCCAGTTTATGCAGGACGCATTTTCCAGTTTTCGGGCAATATCCCTACATTTCATGAATGATTTGACTACCGTAACAATTTAAAATAGTATTTATTCTAGGATAAATACTCAAGAAATTGTTTATTCCCCAAAATGCTTGTATTTTCTTAGATAAATGACCGGTTACATGAAATGCTACTATTTATTGCTTTCAAATGTCAACATGGTTATTATTAACAAGCCTCCTATATCGGTCTACAGTTATTCTGGTTTATAAGTATTCACTGAAAAGGGTTAAACAATTATGTAACTGTTAACCTGTAAAAATAAATTGTTTTGATGAGATCTATCCTATGAGGCTATGTAGATCTACATGTTCAATTTGATATAAATTCTGTATTTCTATACATCTAGCACCAACTCGTACTGGAAACAGCTACAGATAAACTTGCCAGATGGAAGCAACGTTGTGTGTAGGGTTGATCCACAAACATACCATGCATGCATTGTGGAAAAGGGTCATGGAAACTCCAATTATATTTCGTAATATAAAATCACCATTTAAAATATTTATTCAGTCAAGTACATAAATATATACAATTTATAGAATAGACATTAGATACAGTCTTACTGAAACCTATGAAAATACCAAAAAGTTATGCCATTGTGTACTCAACATTTGCAGATACTTTTTGAGGTATATATGTGACCGGTAGTGTCATTTCTGATAATCAAATAATTACAGAGATTAAAATAGATACACATATATAAATATGTATTGTGCATGTTAAAAATGGAAGTTTATTCAGGTACCCTTGACCTACCTCAGAACAGATATTTTAAGAAAATATTGTCAAATATTATGGTACATGTACCTATAGCTAGGTGACATCTTTTTGAACTGTCTGTTATATATGTTATCCTTGAAACATCACTTTTAACTGTCTGCTCTGGCCTATAATAGACCTATTCTCCTATAACCATTCCTCAAACATTTAACCACATGTTGATGACTTCAGTTACTCAAATCAACCATGGTAGAGGATGCACAAGACAAATTATATTCATATAAATTTCCATGCAATACAGCATTTCAGTTATTTTTGGGATGTACATTTATACATTTATGCTTTGTTATAACTGCATTATATTTGTATCTAAAAAAAATCATGGATACAAATATCTTGTACAAATACATAAATATTTGATAATATCATATTATGAACCAATCATTACTCCAGCTTATGGATGAGCTGCTGGTGGGTGATCCTGCTGTTCGGCCAGGAACAATAGTATCATCAATGGAAGGTAATTTGATTTACAGCGTATTTCTATTATTGCTGTACATATTATCCTCAAAATTTACAAATATCTTCACTTACCTATAAATCAAATTTCATTTGACCACTGTCATGGAACACTGGTTTAAAAAGTTGAACATGTATACTTAAAAGCCTTAAGTTTAATGTTACCAAAACTTCAGTCAATAGGATAGGAATATACACTCGGCAGTTTAAGCAAATAGTAACTAATTGAACAGCTTAACTTAATTTGCTTTTTTATAATCATATTGCATTATTCAAGGCAAAAACAGAACCATCAAAATGACATTGATCCATTTGCAATCATAGCCCTATGAATGCAATTGTTTTGGTAATGTTTAATCGGTACTTTTAAGTGAAAATTTAAATTGAAATGATGGCTTTTATAACATAATAGGAAATAGCAGTTCTACAGCATGCAGTACGTATACAGCTCCTGCAAGCAGTACAGTTCCAGCGAGCAGTACAGCTCCAGCTTTAAAAAAACCACAAACTTCCCCAGCCAGAAAGGAAAAAAGGAAACGGAAGAGAGAAGAGATGCCAGACTGGTTCAGGGAATTTTCTGACCAACAAAATAAAATTCTATCTGAAATGAAAGAAACACAACAAAAGGCTGTCAGAGTGGCAGAGGATAGAAACTCTATTCTTAAATCACTGGCAGCTGCATTAGTTAAAAAATAACTAAAAAAAGCATAACTTCTTGATCAAAATGTTAATAAAAATAATGAATATTTAAGCAAATACTGATATGGTCCTATAACACGTTTCTATTGTTGATGAACTCACTTAAAGCCCTACTGGGCTTTGTTAAGTTTGTCATCTACGGCAATGTTTGTTATAGAACCATAACAATATTTGCTTAAATATTCATTGCTTTAATAATTGAAAAATATTCAGTAATGTTATACATTTGTATTTCATTCTAAAGATGATAACAATTAACGTTATGTAACAAATAAAATTATATTTGAATCATACACATATTTCTTTCAGTTCTTTATGATAAGCTTAAGATCATCAAAATAAAGGAGAAGCTTTGTATATCTGAAGAATTTTCCAGATTACACTAACATCTTCGTCATCAGTAGATTCANAGTAGAGTTGTCTTCTGCTGGTGGACAGCAGGTATCATCTGGCATATCAAACTCTTCGTCATCAGAAGATTCATTCTGTAGAATGAAATTGTGCAGTACACAGCATGCTACAATGACATTAGGGATTTCATTCTGCAGGTGCATGTCAAGAAATTGCAGCCTCCTGAATTTACATTTAAGGAGGCCAAATGCACGCTCAATATCAACTCTTGTTGAGGAGTGGCTCTTGTTGTATTTCTTTTCAATATGACTTAGATGCCCATTGTCACGAAATGGCACCAGCAAGTTTACTGACAGGGGATAGACCGAGTCTCCCAAGATATGCTGGTTCGGTGGCAATGATGGAAGAATCTGGCTTAACGGACAGTTTCGCCAGACTCGTGCATCATGAACTGACCCTGGCCAACCAGCATAAACATCCCGGAAGACAAGGTTGCTGTCACAAACAGCCTGTAGCTGGATGCTTGGAAAGCCTTTCCTGTTAGTATAGGAATCCCTGTGTGTAGAAGGCCCAGGTATAGGTATGTGTGTCCCATCCACAGCACCAACCACACCAGGAAAACCACATCTGTTAAAAAACCCATCAGCAACATACTTCAGTTCTGCAGCAGTAGAGGGCCAGACTATGAATTTCTTCTGTTGAGCAACAATTGCTTCAACAACACTGAGAACATTTTCATGCAACGAACTCTTGCTGAAGCCGAAGCGGTCAGCCACACTTCTGTAACACTCCTTGTTGCCAAGCAACCATAATGTTGCAAGAATTTTCTTTTCCAAGCAAATACTCCTCTCTGGGATATAAGTTGCCAAATGACCACACAGTGCCTGCAAAAATATGGAATCAGTATTTTTTGCTTTTGTTCAGTCTATGAGCAATCAAGTTTAATGTAGGACTTGATCTTGAACATTAAATGATATTTATAAATCCGATTACTATGCCCAGCTATTTGTGTTTTTACCCAACAATTAAGAAAATTTGGAGATATCTTTATTTGATAGATAAAGATATCTCTATTTGAATACAAACTTTTCAAATCATACCTTCATTTGTAATCTGTCATCACCTGTCCTTAAAATATTCTTTTTTTTTATATCACTATTTCATAGGAAAATCTGTCAAATTTCATTAGAAGGTTCCCTACGGTCCATGATATAGTTGTGCACATCTTATTTTGAGACTGATAAGATGGTTACTAGGCAATTAATCTTATGGGGGGGTGGGAGGCACCTGTTTCAACATATATTTTTATTTTGGTGGTCGGCTCAAAATCAGATCTGCCTTCCATTTCTGATATTAAATCACTTTCAGCATTCAATCAGTGGTGTGTAAAAAGCTTAGTCATCTTTGAAATGGACATTCAAAGTTACTCACTCATTCTCAAGATGTACTTGGCAGACCTTTCATATATTGGTTCCTTATTGTTCTTGGGTTCGCGTCTTAAATGTAGCTATGTTTTATTATAAATATCCATAACAAAATTCAGTTTCTATAGATAGATCAGTAGTTCTTGCATATTTATGGATATATCTAAATTATTTTATGTGTGTAGGTATATATATCTAATTCACTATTTCTATGATGTAAATCTGTATTTCAAACAGAGATGTTTTAAGTGTAGATATCTATTTCAGATAACTGACAGTCTGCATATTAACAAGAGATGTATGTAGACAGATATTTAAAATTTCAAAATACAGATATATGTAAATTGGATACAGATATCCGTAATTTCTCTATATAGTGTATTGAAAAATGTGTATTCATAACAAATTTAAATGATGTATTTAATGGGTAAAATCCACACAGCTGGACACAGTTTACTTCTGAAAAGAGTTCACTTTGTATTAAAAGAACCAGTTTAAAATGCTGTATGACATTATTTTATTATACAAATGGATTACAAACAGGAAAACAGGTAAAGCCTATTTTATTACAGCACATTTATAAGAAAAGATACAAAAAACATCGGAGAACGTTTATACTAACACACATTTATATTATTGCATGACACACTATCATATATAAATATTGACCACTCTAAAGCATTTCTGCTTTATGTAATAATTTCTATAACCAAGTTTGAATGGCTTTCATATCTTGTCATATGTCATAATTGTACCAATGACGCTCGCTTGAAGATGGGTTATTTATTCCTTTGAATTCCAAATTTTGATTAAAATAACACATAGTTAATTCAATTTCTATTAGATTCTATCATTTTTGAAATACTAAACATAAGTATTGAACAGCTTCAGTCTGAATTCAAATACACAGTGAATGTCAACTAAAGGCGTTCTAAACCAACTAACAAAGTTATAGGTATAAATGCCAAGCTTTATTCATTGTAAATATCGTACACGTTTCATTGCTACATATTTTCAATGTTTATTAAAAATGTTTTTTCCAGTTCCATCTTCGCGACTGCATTTAGATTGGCATTATAATTCACAGGAGTGAAAAACACCAACGAACGCACCTATTTGGTTAGACCGAGTTCCGTTATTTTCTTCTTGTTTGGTTAAGAAGTTAAATCAATTGTTTTAATAATACGATTAGATGATATGCAGACCAGCCCTAGTTTCTTTCAGACTGAAACTGTTAATCATACATGACAGATATTGTAATCCGTGCTCCGTGAATTTCCTATCAACTAGGGCCCCCTTTCCTGTATCCGGTTGAACCGGTTTGTCTGTTTATAAATGTAACATTTTGGGGTATAAATCCTGGCGGACCTGCAAATGTTTATTCGGGCCTTGCAAGGCTTTGACAAGATTCGCCTGAAAGCAGCATTAGATTACTAGGTCCGACCTTATTTCATAAAAGAACAACTTTGGTACAACCGTCAAGCGAAAAACGAATGCGGCCCATGATGTAAACTACGAGATTTATAAATTGAAAGTAAGTTAGAATATCTTGCAACAGCAAAATGTACTGACACAGGACTAGTATATCTATGTCAGTACATTTCGCCATAATGCCGTTTTTATCCAAAGGGAATGTTCAATATTGATAGGTTTCACATTTACTGTACATTACTGTACTGTAATAAGTAGCGAGAGTGTCTCCTTAAATGCAACATCGAACATACCGTGAATGTTATAAGCCTACCTCAAACGACGATTTTGTCATCCTAAAATGACCCTTAAATTCGACAATCGAGTAAAAGGGAACTATTTCTTCAAAATAATTGTCGATTCTTGTCGGATCCTTGCGATGACCGAGCATCAACTGCAAAGCAGTGTTACTCGATTGGATAACTGCTGCTGATGCATATGTAAACGATGCAAGGTCCACAGAGTCGTCTGCTAGTTCGTCTAGTATCAACACATTCATTATTTCCTCCATCTTGAAATTGTTTTCTGCGAACGCAGCGTACGGTAAGCACAGAACGTTCGCCAACAAAACGCTCGCGAACGTTCTCGCTACCGAACGCACCTCTGTTATAAGGGGTTATGGGTATAAAGTATTCAAGGATAGAACGCGCCTAAACATGAGAAAGATGTCATTATTGTTGACATTTGGAACCGCCTGTCACCTAAGATGATATCATCAAGAATTATCAAATCTTTTGAGTCTTGCCTAGACCATCACTGGAGAAAGCAACCGATATTCTTAAATTATTGTGAACCATTTTTCTCAACACCCGTAGTTAAATATATGAAATGATATACTTTCTGATAATTAATTACCAAATTAATATTGTGAACACACGTAATTACTTTAATTGGGAATATGTGCATTTAATTTTCACCTCAACTATTAATGATTGATGCTAATCAAATAACCACTTAGATGATACTTTGTATGTCCATGTTGTCAGAATTTGTTAAACCCGTACTAAGATACACATTTTGTAAATCCTACAGTCAGAATAAAATCCGTGAATCTGTGTATCTGGGTTTTATTAACGTATCGTTATAAGAGTTATACAAATGAATGTGCTTCTATGGTGGTATATTTAAAGTATAAATATAAAAGAAAATCTAATTAACTATGGGTTTTTTGCAGTAAACACGTATGTAAGAGCTACTTGGTCGTAGTCCTAAAGCTCCAGACATCATACATTTGGTTGAATCACTTTTCGGTGTGGATAGCAGGTGGTGTTTCCTAGATGACTTCCCGGTTAAACCACATAAATCAGGAAAACTCTGTAAACCCGGATATAGACTCAAGAAACTCTGCGTGTTGTATAAAACGATACATGTATTATATGACTACTTTTATGTCTTTTTTTATATGATTGTTCATCGATAACAGACAATTTTGCTAGAAGACTATACAATAGACACCATTTACCAATGCATCAACATACAAAGACAACATCGAAACTCAAAATCGACATTTAGAGCATTGAAAGGAACAAATAGTTTGTTTTGTGTTTAAAGTCCTTGCAACAGTCAAAGTCATACACAGCAGGGTGACCAGGTGAAACTGCTGGAAAGATAGAGTAGGAAATTAAGTAGAAAAGATAAAACAAATCCTTCGTGCTTCATAAGGGGCAGCAGATCCATAATGATTTCTTCAATTTCGCTAAAACAGAAGGCAAGCAATTCTGCTGGGGTTCACACATTAGTCGCCTCCTATGACATGCAAGGGGATATAGCAAACCTTTTCCTTCCTTGAACGTTCAGGAGTACGATATCCTTAAGATATCACAAACCACCGATGAAAAACTAGAGATGAGACTTTTAAAATAGCGGTGTTTTCAATCATAATGGGACTTATTTAATACCAAGGTAGACTCAGACTGCTGACTATTTGACTTTAAAGAATCTTTTTGTTTTAAACAAATTACCATGGAGAATTCGTAGTAATATGTTTTGTGGTTTGATGTTTACAATACATATTATATATTAAGACAAACGTATGCAATCTATTCGAACGTCAAAACATTCTACACGGTTAGCAGTTATGAAGTTTATGTATGTTTATTAACATGTATACATTTTTATCTCAATAAATTACTTTAAAGTGAACACATAGGAATTCGCCGAAGAGATATGAAGAAAATATTTGTTTTATATTTTCGGTATCCCAGTCGTAATGATTGAATTGAGACGTTTTGTAACGAAATATACAACCACAATTTTTTTTCCAGATTTTCCAATGCTATATAAACTGTACTATTACAATAAGGACAAATTAATATGCATAAATATAAAATCTTGACATTCATCTGCAATTGATTGAACAGCGGATTCCTACATGGCATTTACAGTCATAATATGTCAGTTCTGTAGACGGATACGCATATGAAGGGGAGGATATTGCTACATAAACTGTGTTTCTCGCCATGTTCACTACTCAATGAACTGACAACTGTACGTGTTTATGAGAGCAGCTGCCGTCCACACGATGACCCAGAAAAGAGAGCTGTTTTGGTTTCCAGAAACATTTATCGCACACGTCTAATGATAATCTGTCGTTTGTATCCATAGTAATTGGGGCACGGTCATTTTTCTCGGTAGTCTAGTGGTAGGACGCCGCGCTCGTGACCGAAGGGTTGCGGGTTCGAGTCGTCACGTCACAGCACTGTGTTGTATCATTGAACAAGATACTTTACTCCGCTTGTTCCAGTCTACTCAGCTGTAAATGCGCACATGGTTGGGCAGTACTAGAATTGTTGAATGCTAGCTGTGAGCGCCGCAATGGCAGCACCGGCTGTATGCTCCTCAGGGAGGTGAGAAAAAATATTGGCTGTTTGGAAAGGCCCTAAAACCACAGATACTAATTTGTGAATCGCTTTGAGACGACACGCGGACAAAGTTGTGGTAAATTGGTATAAAAGATACTCAAATAAATTATAATTAAAGGTAAAACTTTGTTACAGTTGCATGCATCTAATTTGCAAACGATACATGTCATATATGATGAACTAGGTAAGTTAACATATGACACATTTGAAAGATTTCAGGCAACGATTATTTCAGGAAATCAAGATTGTACTAAAACTATAGTATTTGGAATTACTCTTTTGTATCGTCGGGCGAAATGTGTGTGCCATTTATAGGTAGTGTTGGACCTTATAGTACGTTTGATATAGTCTGGTTTTATTTTGTTTAACGTCCTACATGTATCAATAGCTGAGGTCATGTAAAGAGATTCATGTATGTTGTGGATGCGTGCACGTGTGAATGTGCACTGGAGCCATGGTATGTTGGTGTATTTGCCTTCTTGTGATAGCGCGGATGTGATTGGTATGTAACTGTGGTTTGCTAGTGTTTCACAAAAGAGTGATATAACATCTTAAGGTGAAATATATAAATACAAAAATATATAGCTGCGATGTTGAACAGTGAGAATTCCGAGTTCACGAGGAAAATATCTGAGCATACCTATGATTATGCGATTTCGAAATAAGCTTATGTCTTTCGCGAATCTGAATACAAAACATCTTATTTCAAATATTGAATAATGAATTATTATTGCTTTATATTTGTCAATCACTCTGTCCAAGAGGACATATTTTACATAAAATACCGAAATATCCTAAATTGATCTTCTGCTATCATTGCAGATCTTTGCTTTCTCTTCCACTCCCATACTCTTTCTTTCGACGATGGTCCCGTCCTCATCTGACCTTAGCTGCAGCTTAGACCTACAACGCCATATAATAACATTAAGCATGTTATGCAAGCTGATTAATGTTTAGATATTTTAAAAAAAAAATCGCAAGTTTACATATAATATTTTCTCATCGTCTGCTACACTATATTCCGTATGATAGACTGTGGTTAGATTGTGGCTCCATCTGACTAATTAAAAGTGTATTTGTTCCTATAATGATAAACATATCTAGGATTTCACAGAGATAGTATTGCAATGTAGATTCTCGGGTACAAATTCACATCCAATGTTACGGTTACCTGGGTATCAAGTGATTATATAATTAAAAGTCACAGTAAAAAGGGAAATATACTTGAAAGTTAAAGACGAAGTATTTCATTTAAAAATACAATTGACTGCATTTCGATGTCCATTTAAACTAGTTATGAAGTCATATTGTTATATTTTTTATTCTAAATGTACCTTTTTCATATCATAAGGTAATGGTACCTTTTTACCAGCTTTAGCCGAGCAGAAGCGCTCCACTTCAGAGTGTTTGTTTTAATTCAGAGTATTCCATCTTCTACATAGAATATAAAGTAACAAGAAAGGAATGAGTTGTCCCTACTGAAGAGTTCCTGTGCTTCCTTTGTTTAGGTATTTGATACTTATGCTGTGTATTCTGGTAACGCGTAGGATTATACTGAGTGCGACTTTTGAAAGTTTTTGGTTTTTGCTGTTAATTACTAAATACCATTCTGTAAAATACATCGCAAGATCGTAATTAGTTCGGTATACTAACGTACATTGAGAAATATTTTACTTTCTTCTCAAGTTGAACTCAATACATCTACCAAATGTTACTTGTTCCATTTGATTAAATTAACAAGATAAACATTACCTAAGCGAATGAAACATCTTTTCAGATTCTTGCGAAGAGAGATAGCAATTGACATTTTGAGTGGTTTTTTTTTTTATTGCGGAACGTAAACAAGTACGAGAAATGACAGATAGGTAACACTATTGTTCTTGGCAGCCATTTAACATCCCCTCGTGGATCGCTCAATCACTGTCAGAGTCTATGGAAAATGGATGTGTTTGAGCTGGGGTGGATAAGGATAATGTACCCTAATAATAAATGTCCCCATCACGTTATGTGCGTTCAATAATCGAATTTTACGAAATGTTACACACTGCACTGTGTATTAATTGCTGTAAGCACACCTTAATGTTAACATTGCTGAAATCACACCATAGTATGTTAACATTGCTGTAATTACACCGAAATGTGTTAACATTGCTGTTATCAAACGGAAGTATGTTAACATTGCTGTAATTACACCGAAGTATGTTAACATTGCTGTAATCACACCGAAGAATATAAGCATTGCCTAAATCATACACAAATGTGTTGGCATTGCTGTTATAACGCTGAAGTTTGTTAACATTGCTGTTATCACACCGAAGAGTGTTAACATTGCTGTAACCAAACGGAAGTATGTTAACATTGCTGTAATCACACGGAAGTATGTTAACATTGAGGTAATCACACCGAAGTGTGTTAATATTGCTGTAATCACACCGAAGTGTGTTAACATTGCTGTAATCAAACGGAAGTGATGTCTATGTTAACATTGCTGTAATCACACCGAAGTGTGTTAACATTGCTGTAATCACACCGAATTGTTTTAACATTGCTTTAATCGCACCGAAGTATGTAAACATTGCTGTAATGTAACGGAAGTATGTTAACATTGCTGTTATCACACCGAACTATGTTAACATTGCTGTAATCACACCGATATGTTATCATTGCTGTAATCACACCGAAGAATGTAAGCATTGCCAAAATGATACACACTGCACTGTGTATTAATTGCTGTAAGCACACCTTAATGTTAACATTGCTGAAATCACACCATAGTATGCTAGCATTGCTGTAATTACAACGAAGTGTGTTAACATTGCTGTAATCAAACGGAAGTATGTTAACATTGCTGTAATAACACCGAAGTGTGTTTACATTGCTGTAATCAAACCGAAGTATGTTAACATTGCTGTTATCACACCGAAGAATGTAAGCATTGCCAAAATCATACACAAATGTGTTGGCATTGCTGTTATAACGCTGAAGATTGTTAACATTGCTGTTATCACACCGAAGAGTGTTAACATTGATGTTATCACACCGAAGTGTGTAAACATTGCTGTAATCACACCGAAGTGTGTTAACATTGCTGTAATCAAACGGAAATAATGTCTATGTTAACATTGCTGTAATCACACCGAAGTATGTTAACATTGCTGTTATCGCACCGAAGTATGTAAACATTGCTGTAATCACATCGAAGTGTGTTAACATTGCTGTAATCAAACGGAAGTAATGCATATGCTAACATTGCTGTTATTACACCGAAGTATGTTAACATTGCTGTAATAACACCGAAGTGTGTTAACATTGCTGTAATCAAACGGAAGTAATGCCTATGTTAACATTGCTGTTATCGCACCGAAGTATGTAAACATTGCTGTAATCACACCGAAGTGTGTTAACATTGCTGTAATCAAACGGAAGTAATGCATATGCTAACATTGCTGTTATTACACCGAAGTATGTTAACATTGCTGTAATTTCACCGAAGTGTGTTAACATTGCTGTAATCAAACGGAAGTAATGCCTATGTTAACATTGCTGTAATCACACCGAAGTATGTTAACATTGCTGTAATCACACCGAAGTGTGTTAACATTGCTGTAATCAAACGGGGGTATGTTAACATTGCTGTTATCACACCGAATTGTTTTAACATTGCTGTAATCGCACCGAAGTATGTAAACATTGCTGTAATGTAACGGAAGTATGTTAACATTGCTGTAATCACACCGAACTATGTTAACATTGCTGTAATCACACCGAAGTATGATAACATTGCTGTAATCACACCGAAGTATGTAAACATTTCTGTTATCACACCGAAGTGGATTAACATTGCTGTAATCACACCGAAGTGTACATTGTTATACTCACACCGAAGTGTATTCACATTACTGTCATCAAACGGAAGTAATTCCTATGTTAACATTGCTGTAAGCACACCGAAGTATGTTAACATTATTGTAATCACACCGAAATGTGTTAACATTGCTGTAATCACGACGAAGTATGTAAACATTGCTGTAATTACACCGAAGTATGTAAACATTGCTGTAATCACACCGAAGTGTGGTAACATTGCTGTTATCAAACAGAAGTATGTTAACATTGCTGTTATCACACCGAATTGTGTTAACATTGCTGTAACCTCACCGAAGTATGTTAACGTTGCTGTAATCAAACGGAAGTGTGTTAACATTTTTGTAATCACACCGAAGTATGTTAATATTGCTGTAATCACACCGAAGTATGTTAACATTGCTGTTATCACACCGAAGTATGTTAACATTGCTATAATCACACCTAAGTGTGTTAACATTGCTGTAGTTACACCTAAGTGTATTAACATTAACTTAATCAGTACAAAAAGAATTAATATGCTGTAATCACAACGAAGATTATGAAAGATAGAGATTCAAAAGCAAATTACTCGAGTTTGTTCATTTTCAAATATCATTTTTATGAATTAACAAAATAATTGGCAATTAATATGACTAACCGGTCGTGCAAAATATATTGTTGAGGTGATCAGATTGCTAAATGGTCATATTACACAAGCACCTCTATAGTTTGATGACTAGCTGTATAGTTTTTTAACAGAGTTAGTGAATTAGTTAGTGAAATCTTAACGGCCAATCAATACAGAAAAGGTCTTAAAGGCAATTAAAACGTAGATAAAACATGTCAAGGAGACGATGGTTGTTGACAATAGTATCGTATCGCCGTATACAATAAATGTAGTGGTAGTCGAAGAATTAGTTTGCTTTATATTTGGAATATAATAATCTAATTTACCGCCTTGAACACAATATCTGACTTGCTAATTTCTATAACAATTTTATCGAATTGCATGTTCTTAAGTGTATTCTCACGGGGAAACCAAATGGACGCATATCTAAATTGCGTAATAAGGAGCCCATGGCCCAGTTGTTCAAAAGGAGATTAGCTTAATCAGTGATTAGCGCAAATGTTAATTTTTGCATAATTTTAAAACAAAACCATTGATTAAATTCTAGATATCTACTATTTAATGGAGCGCATTTACATGCAAAATTGTGAGATTTTACCTTGTATACTGACGGAATTATTAAAGGTTGAACAATTTTGTTAAACAGTGATTAAGCTAACCGCCCAGACGTATTAAGTGTACTGATGTATTTATGCTAACAATATGATTAATATTATTTGCAGGTTTGTATATGACTGTGTGCTTTAAAATATAGACGATCTTGTTTCGTCTTTGCAATCATTGTATTCTTTAAATGTACAATACGGAAGAAATGTAAATATGCTAAATTGTAAATAATACCAAAAATCTTATGATTAATATGTACAAATATAATGTAAAGATAATTCACAAATTTCACTATTAATAAGAAGACGACAGGAAACCTGAAAAAAGTATAGTAACTAATATATATAACATTTGTCAGCGACCGAACATTCTCTTTAGGGTATTTGACACTGTAAAACACCTATAATGTTAAAGGCAGCTTTTCTTACGTAGAAATCAGTGTCCTTCGAGAAATGTTTATACTTTCTCTCATTCAAGTTTGCTTGAAAGCGACAGCAGGTGATCCCTGCCCAAGGACACTATCTAATGGTGCAAAGCTAATTTGATGGTCAGTTTTGATGTCAGTGGTCACGTGTAGGTGTGACAGTGTGGTAGAAATATGTTTACCTGAAGAACAATATATTTTTAATTTATTGTTTTTTTCATTCATTTTTTTTGTCATTCTTCTCTTTCTCTATTCATGATTATGACTTTCTCATAACAAATTGTCCGGGTCAATGGTCAGGTGTTTATTTTCTCGTTTGAATATGATATCGTGATGCTTTGCCTCTGCAAAAAATAGAAGATCATAAAGTTACAGAAGTTTTAAGACGATGTGTTTGTTAGATGTTTAACGCCCCCGTAATAGCTAAGGTACATGTAATATGAAAACCGGTGCTTAGAGAGACATTGCCAAAAACAAGAGAATAAATAAAATGGGTGTAAACAAATAAACCATAGTTTCAGAGTGTTGCAGAAAAGTCAGCAAAACACTCTTGAATTGTTTTAATATCTGCTTAGCAAAGGACATCGAAAAAATCTTTGATTATGCAGGGAGATCCGCTTCAATTTGTGATATCATGCTGTGGTATACAACAGTCCAGTTCCTACCTTGACCAGTAGGTGTTGGTTTTAATATTTCAGTAAATGTAGAAATATCTGTTACATATAATCTAAAATGAGATTGATTCATTATCTTCTAAGATAGTTCATGTTGTTAATGTTATTACATACATAAAAAACGTAGTCTGGTGGTAACATGAAATAAAACAAACGTGTGTCTGTAACATTCATCTCCATCTCTTATTTACGTAAACCGGTTAAATGCAATCTTCGTGTTAATCTTTAAAAGTATTTCCAAACATTATTTACTAAGATAACTGTTAAGTAGATATTGAAACATTTTAATTACATGAAATTGACTGGAAATTTATCAACCAAAACAACTGAAAATTGAAGAGAGAAAAAAGTAATAATGGTATTTTTTTTAAATAAGCAAGTGCATTTTTTTTGTAGGAGGGAGCATGATATTCAGTATGACTTTAGCGTCCTCTTCTTCTGTTATATATTATTTTGGTCAACACGACTGACGTTTTCAATGTGATGAAGTCTTTCATCTGAACGTTAAAACCAAAATGATGACAGAAAGGGGTGATTCGACGGTCACTTTCTTTGAAGCAGATGTAAATGTACGGACACTTAAATAAGCGAGCTTTATAATTATTTGACGATATCAACATAAAATAGTCCTGTTTTAGAGCAATAAGTGTCACGTATTATATTGACAAAGACAAATTGCATTTTGCTCGCTTCTAAAACCGTACGCCTTCTTAAAATGCAAGGAATTCAGAATACTTTAAAATGTGGCAATATTTGGCAACCTCCCAAATACGTCTAATCCCCCGCGTGATATTGTGGTTTGTTGTGGAGTGTGCCGCCATGGTTATCAAGACAAAAACCAGAAAATCGTGTGCTCGAGTAACTATCATCGCATGTTTCCGTGATTAAGATTTATAACGATAACAAATAAAGCCATTTCGGAACTGACCTAAGATAGAGGGCCACAGGTGAGGAGGTGGCCTACCAGATGTGTCCCACCAATATGTCATACCGATGATGTATGCAAATGAGGTGATATTGTTCCTACAGACAGGTATATAAACGACGCACGACACGCCGGCTGAATCTTTCCCCAGCATCTGATAACTGATTTGTGTGAACCAGGAATCAACGGTTGTTTATCACACTTTTCAAATTTGTCTCTGTAAGTATGTTTTGATGTTGTCTGTTAAATTTTATATTTTTTATTTTTGTTACAGATTTCATTATTTTTACCTTTTATTATTGTTTTACATAGCTGAACTTCAGTTTATAATATAACTTACAATTATTGTTCTCTCTGTAATGAGATTGTTTTTATCAAAAGCACAAATACATTTGAAAATATTTATTTTTATTTTTGCAACATAATTTCAAAAAATTAAACGCTCTCAAAGTCTTAATAATATTCATGAAGCCGAAGCTTCTTATATTAATTTATCATTCATTCTTTCATACGTATATTTCATTCATTACAATAACGATAATATTTATTTTGAGTAAATTGATATATTAAATTACATCAACCATTCCTTCTTTATATATTCAAATATTGAAAGTATTTTTATATTTATAAATTCAGTTACATGCCAAAAATTCTGCTTTATTGATTTGGGATTGCCATTTTGTCCTAAATTTTAGACAAGATAAAACCGAATTCATGTACTTTGAATGATGTTGTTATTCATGTGTAATTTGGATTAGTTTAAGAAGGAATGTCTGGGGAAATTTATTTGTATCTTTGTGGACGGGGGCAATATAAAAGCATAATGGTCCTAATAGTTTTGCTTTAAAATCTTCTTGGGGTTTTAACTATGGAATTTGCTATCTTAGATAGGAATTGGTTTACAGAAGATCAATTTGTCATTTAAAATGAAATATTCAAAACATAATGAGCTTTTGTACTAAATTGTAAAGCATGTATTATTATATTTTCTTTATTTCAGATTAAGAAAGACCATGTCTAAGCTTCAGATTCTGATTGTCGTGTTTTTGGTGTGTTCGTTCCTTGCTGTGACGATTGCACAGTCAGATGGACTAGGTAGGTACCCCGTGTATCCATGACAACTTGTGGTGTGATGTATATACGAATTCAGACTAGGAAGTTACCTTGTATCCATGACAACATGTAGTATGACCTGTACACGAATTTAGACAAGGTAGGGACCTTGTATCCATGATAATTTGTGGAGTGATGTATACACGAACTTAGGTACACAAGGGAACCTGCTTTATCCGACATCCGCTGATGATAGTTTCAGAATAGACTGGCTTGCCGCGTAAACAAATGATAGCTGGTAGTTCTCATGAGAAATGGGAATGCGTTGTTATGTTCGATAAGACAGGTATCAAACTACTCGAGGTCGGATAAGAAAAAAATCACTGAACCTACAAACATATTTGAATTTAATCCTATTTTACACTTCGACATACCTTTTTACCAAATCATTTATTTATTTTTGTAATTCTGTGAAAACATGATATCTTAAAATCATCTACATTTGCTTCTTGTCCCCTTTTGTCGTCTTCAAAAGCTGTAAAGGGTCAATCAGCTTCGTATTACATGTTATTATGTTTTTGAGAACATCAAAATCACCATGGACTTATGTAATATCTACTTTAAAGATACAACAAATATACTCTGGTTGGTAAATTTTCAAACATTCAATAGTGTCTTTTAAAATATTTGTTCATTGCGAGGATGTATTTCATAGTTTTAATTTCGCGTGGTCTATTGTTTGAAGTTGGCCAGAGTGGCGCAAAACGTAAACAGGTGACAAAACTGACAGATAGGTGACGCTGTTGATGCTATCTGTGGTGTGACATCACTATACTTAATTACTTTAGGAGTCGATGACTAGTGGACGCCTTCATAGATAACATTAATCCAATTGATGCGTTGAAGGTCACGCCGAAGATATGACCGTTTAATTATCTAGACTGACGGGAGGTAAGACAAAACAGTGTGTTACATTCTTGTTATTGTTATCACACTTCCACTGTGTGAAATGCATTGTTTGTCAGTGACAAAATTAATAACGCCGTTTGATGAGCAGTGACGATAGTCGTGAAATATGTTGACTGTAAGTGTCCTTATTTTAGAGATCATCTTATTTTAGCGAACACAAATACTAAGTTTAATGCATTGTTTATCTTTGATGAAACGATCGTACATGAATTTTGAAATAAACAACAGCACATCACAGATTGCACGAGAGACTAAATTATTTATATAGTACAGGAACTTATTTTAGAGGTACTAATACAGCGCCTTTCATTGTGTGCTTATTGATGTGCAGAGATAGTTATAAAGCGTTTATATATACTTGATTTCCAAAAGAACACTTAGCGTGAATTAACAATGTGTGCGTGGTTATATACAATATGAACGTCAGTATATGATGTTGGCGTGGTTATACGAAAACCTCGTATTCAACGTTTAAAAACATCGTGCCACTAGTATACTGAAACAAGAAAACACAAAACAGAGTAAACTTGTTCTGATTTCAAACTTTTCTATAGCGAATTTTAATCAAACATAATGGTCGGAAGAACTGCATTAAATTAAATGTTATTTGCAATTCAACTTAGTCGTGGTTCATGTGTGGCTGGTAGTACAGTCCTTGTACGACAGTCGTTCTTCCAGCAATACAAGCTTGTGGGAATTGATAAGGCTTAAAATTCCACACTATAGAATTAGCGTGAATATTGTTGTCTATCATGTGAACAGTCGGAAGACATTAGTTTGAAAAAAAATGTTGGTGTTTGAATTAAATTGTACTTGAAAACAGTGCAGCAACGTTGGTATTCCGTCTTTTCGTATTGCAGAGTTATCTGCTCTTGTGAGCAGGTATTGATTGTAACGTCATTTTTTGTGAGTGTAACGTCATCAATGTTTGAGAAAACGACGTAATTTTCTAACACAAACCAATGACGTAACAATCAATACCTGCTCACAAGAGAAGATAACTCTGCAATACGCAAAGACGGAATAGAATAAACAATAATGCAGATGAAGCGACACATTCGTGTGAACTTAGAATTACATATGCATAACATGTGTACAACTTCGCGGTTGAACGGTGTCGGGAGTAGATTAGCAATAATCCGTAAGGACATGTCATGTAAAACTGCTGCTCGGAATAGTTAACAAAACAGAAAAGACGCTGTTTTATTTAACCTAAAATTTGCCGGGCGACATCATATTTACAGTGTATCTCTGTAAACGTAAACAACTTCCACGTCCACGGCTGGCTTGTTTCATGTGCATTCCAATTAACTACAGCAAATGGTTGTAAAAACAAATATTTAGCTGGAGGCATGCTGGATGTCAAGGCACACTACGTCACAAAGCAGACTATCCTAGTGAGAGAAGCTGTGAAATAATTGATATTCAATTCAAAACTTTGCATATATTGTAAAAAGAAAACAAAAAAAACCATAGGATATTATATAAATTATCGTAAACTTTGCAGAGTATTCATCAAGAAAGGTATCGGTACACTTATTATGTTTTTATGTAAAATATCCTTTTAGAAGATTGCAAAAATATCATAGCACAAATGTTTTGTCACATAAAAACCTTGTAAAAGTTTTAATAAGAAACATTAACATACATATTCGTAAGAATTAAAACATTTGGAGCAATCATTTAAGAAAAATCAATTAAAGACTATACAGACATACAATGTTTCTTTCTTCTAAATAAAATACTGACATATCAATGTTTCTTCCAAAGTCAATACTGACATACACATGTTTTTTTCCAAAGACTTTCCTGACATACCAATGTTTTTTCCAAAGACAATACTGACATACACATGTTTCCTATAAAGTCAATACTGGCATACACATGTTTCATCTACAGACAAAACTGACATATCAATATTTCTTCTAAGGACAAAACTGAGGTATCAACGTTTTTTCTAAAGACAAAACTGACATACAAATGTTTCTTCTGAAGACAATACTGGCATATAAATGCTTCTTCGAACAGACCATACTGATATATTAATTGTTCTTATATGCTGATGTTTGTTCTCGCGCCCTGTATGTCATCCCTTGTTTACGGTATACGAGCACGTTAAACGGACACACCACGCCTGTAGTATTGAAAGCTGAAGTATCCGTCATGAGCTGCCATTAAGCTGTCACTTTTTGTAGTTTGTAACATGAGTGCAAGGCCTGTGCTCTCATCGTCTATCATGTTGTTTACAGTATTATTGGTCAACAAATTAATCATCTAGGTAAAGGAAAGTTAACCAATCGGGATAGACTAACTCCGTGTTGTTTCTCTCGCAGAAATTTGTTATAAATCTTAGGAAACATTTACATGAACAAGGCTATCGTATGTATTCCCGTATGAGTTTTTGCTCAACATTAAATGGCTGCATGTTTCTGGTATCTTAGACATGATATGTTGGTGAGTACTTGACGAACTCATCGAAGTCAGTTGTCTGTCATTGGTTTTCATAGAGGCCTGGTCATTATATGTGCATTTGTATATATGTATATGACCATAACTACGAATATATATGCTATAAATGTCATTGTTTTCATGCAAATATCGAACAATATACTTTATCTACACCTTTGCTAATATCGAACAATATACTTTATATACAACTTTGCTAATACCGAACAATATACTTTATCTTCACTTATGCATCTTAGTAGGAGATATATATATATTATTAACATGCTAGTATACATAAAATTAGGCTAATTGCAATGAAAATGTATCAATGATAAAAATGGAATGTTCACGCATATTTTGACACCATATTATATAAATACTTATGCATCTATTTTTTTTGTAATTAACAATTTTATTCTCAGAAATTAAGGTAATTGCAAAAAACTCTTTACAAAATTCACAAGCTTTCTGTAGTTTATAAAACAAATGTCTTTGTTTTTCAATTTAATGTATAGTATATTATTATTCGCATGAGTGTAATACATTCTTTTCAAATCTTGTCTACACAATTCATATTGTGTATATTTGATGTACGATGCCTTTGTTTGGATATCGCCAACTCTGTTCTGGTCAGTTGGATTAAGCACTGCGTTATGCAGTCTGTAACGTGACAAATATGTGAAGCCATTAACAGCTGCCTGGGATAAGCCATGGATACATGTCGACGTTGGCGTGAATTTTCCTGCTTTGCATGACAACAATCCATATCGGGGAACTTATGCAAATGAGTTAAATTGACATAGTCTGTGACTGCAAAAATGTTTTATGCAGATGGAGTAACCACATAAGGCAAATACTGTTTTGTATCGTTAAATGACACGTCAGAAAAAATGCTTTGACATCATTGTACACAAAATACAATAAAGGAATTGCAACGAAATTAAAAATTCTTTTGGCTTTGAATAACACTCTTTTTACAAATACTGCTAACATAAAATGTATCTGAAATTTACTAAATTTATTGTCAAAAATGACATAAAAGACACATAACAACTCTGGCCACTTGCATTTGATTAATGAAACCTACTTTATTGCAATAGGATTGGACAAATGTTTCAACAATATAACATAAGCCCTATTCACTATACAATTGCATAAAGTGACAGTTTGCAAAGGGTTGGTCACACAAAATAATTATTTTCCAAAACATAAGATAACACCAGAAAATACGTATACTAAAACTAACAGCAATTCAACAAACAAATAACAGAAGTTAAAGTAATATTATTGGATTTGTTTCTTTTTGTCACGTTTGGAATGTTGATTTCAATTGTAAGACTCTTATTACTAAAAATCAGATTCTTTATTTTCTTTTTTTAAATACTTTCAATAATTTCAATAGTTTTTTAATAACATAACGAGGAAAAAAGAGAAAGAAATAATAGGCAATCTCGCCAATTATACCACAATAGAATTTTACATTTTAACTTGCTAATTTAAAAATGTTCATTTGTTTGATTTTTGACAGCGGCCATGTTCCTCATGATGCAAAACAACAGGAACCAACCTTACGGAACCAGACGTAGTCCGTTATCAGGACTGATGCAATGGTTAATGCTGGAGAATTTAGACTATATTTGAAGCAACCGTCGGATTGAAGATATTTCATCCTGGTTGCGACAACAAGACATGGCGGTGGTTCAAAAACTTTCGAGACAAAGGCACCAACATTTCGATCATTCTCATCAATTTTCGTCTTCATTTGTATTGCATATATGGACGGACAAACATCGTTCAATCATTATCCAACCAAAATTGTTGATGTTTCGATGACATCCCGAAGAATAAGTTGAATTTTTGCCTACGTCAATCTGGATTTAAGTACCTTAGAATATCGACATATGAACATTGGCCACATAATCCAAAAAAAAAAAAAGAATGACATTTAGTTATTTCCAAAAACAAATAGCCGTATATCGCGTGAACATGTTCCATAAGAGATTAATTTAGTTTATAAAAAATGATTTAACTAATTTTACATTATATCTATCTCGGCTGATAATAAGTTTATTGTAAAATTATTTTATAAAAGATTTCGCGGATAAATGTCCAATTCATGTAGCTCTAGTATTTAGTTCATGGGGAAAGTTTTCCTTTAGTATTTATTTCATTCCCCTAGTTTCGCCATAATGCATCTTCTAGCATCCCCCAATCACACATCGAGAGAGCTCCTTGTAGTACGCCTACACGTGTCTTAAATCCTTTAGTTAGACAATTGATATACATTGTACCTACAGCACGCTAACTGAGACAACAAGAAGATGCTGAAGAGATGGGCATCTTTTTTATTCGGGACCTTACTTACAAAATGATGAACATGGGTGTACTTATAGAAGTGATAGATGTTTTAGATCAATTATAAATATTCTTATGGATAAGTTAGACATTTACCAATGTTCTTCATATGTTTGGTGTTCTTTATCTATTTGTGTCGTGGAATAACAAATCAGAAACAATCGTGAGGATATCCCTCGAGTCTAATAGCTCGTACGCTTGTATTTAGTGAAGGACGTGCATTTTGACCGAGGGAGTAAAACAGTGCTTACAATAGAATAGTGCTAACAGTGCTGACAATAATATAGTGCTACATTTGTATATGTCAGTACAATGGTCCTGTAGTTAACATTGTTGTTGTGCCGGCTCACAATTAATAATCACTCTCCTTCTTGTATATAGCTTTGTATCAATAAACGTTTTTATCTATAACTTGATAGAGTATTTTTTCTTCTTATTATTATTCTTTTCCATTATTTTGGTAAGTATGTGATATGTAGAGTTCCAAATATATTCTCCGTCGTGCTTTCTGTATTTGCGAATAAGACTTGGGTCAATAACATAAGTTCAAGTATAATGAAACAAAAAGCTTGCCGTAAAACACATGGACACAATCGGAACCCAGAACAGAAATATGAGGAGACATTTAAACAAAACAGAAGAAACGGCACCAACCGCCTTATTATAAACTAGACCTATCAAGTGCTATCCTGATATTTACGTTTTTTCACCACATGCAGCGCTCGTTATGATGCATTCTATCAAATCCCAGACATAAGGTCGTGCGAAATTAAAGGTTAGAAGCGTTTTATAATCTATATACAGACTGTATATATATTTGTTTTCAATTATTTTAATGACAACAGAACTAATGCAATTGAAGGAAAAATGGTACCTTGAAGGAGAAAAATCGGGGTTTTTTTTACCGAGAGAAAAAATCGTTAGGTACTGATCAAGAGGGCACAACAAAAGAGCTTCCTTTCAATAATACACAACATCTTGAAAACGTCTCAGCAGAAAGAACCATGATATGCTGATAACAATACAATATAGTTCAAATTTATAATACAAATGTTCATAATTGTTTAAAATAGACACTGTACAAAAAAGGCATATATGCATTTATATAGCGGGAAATATACGAGGATTAACGCGTGCTCTTTGATTTAGCGCGTGCTTATATGTGCTGGTAATCTGCGATTGGCTTCATTGGACGTCATTGTGTTAAATGGGGCGCCATTTGCAGCTTCCTTTTACATTAAACAGACAACACATCGCCAAGCGTATTAGAAAAAAACCGGCAACTTCTTTTGAATCAAATGAGACATATGTCGACAGGATGAAACAATGACGTAAGGTAAGGACACGATTTGAAAGAATATCAATGCAAGGTTTAATATAAATATTGGAAGAAAAATGTGTGTCTCTACAAATGAAAAAGTTTAACATTTAATATTAGATTTTGGTGAGTGTATTAGATGGACAATATACCGTTACGTCGCTGAAGTAGAATGATGAGTCTTCTATGCTTTTATTAGACATTCGTGATTGCCAATAAAGAATATATGCCTCATAGCTTAGTGACCTAGCGTACTTTGATGGACATAAGAGAGATGAGTTCATTGGAAATAGTGAATATAATTGACATTGCAGAGATAAGCCCCGTTGCTTTGGTGTGCTGTAATACACTGTCTTATGTGGCATGAGATCCTCACGTGACATATCTGCTTTTGTTTCCAGTTGTTTTTAAACAGGGCGTGTAAACAAATGGAAGGTGTAGCGTTTGATAAGCTGTAGGAAAGATCTTCTTAAATTGGCCATGAAATACAGGAAAAAAACAGGTTTCCGAACATATGTCCTCAGAAAATAATACTAGAAACATGATTGCAGACTCCGTCTATACATAACAGTCATAATCAGAAAGGATTTTTATTTGCAACTTTGCTGGGTCCCCATCCTGAAATATCTCAAATAGTATCTCAAGTAGACATGCGGCAACCTCACAAATAATGTCATCAGGAAGTTTAGTGTTTAGGAGATAATTTTTGGTCAGTCATGTTACCTTGCGACATACGAACGAAAGCGTAATATTTTCCTGATTTTGACTAAAAATCCCCGTACTATCAGTAAATATTTATTTGCTCAAATTATATTAAAAGTGTTTAAATGCAATGCAAAAATAAAATAAAAACACTCATCCAAACGATTAACATAGCTGCAAAATCGCCTGAATACATTGGTCTTTTTTAAAATGTCGCGATATCTTATGCTTTCCGTCTCTTATAACGATTACATAATATCTATGTGACACAACATTCTGCTCTACAATTTTGTAGTGGACGACGTATACAATTATGCTCTAGAAATTGGTAATTCACACACATTGGCAAGTTATCTCCCGTAGAATAATCAATTAATTCCTTTGATATCCAATCGTCTCATCATAGGTTTTAAATAATGTCATTGACACACAACTATTCCAGACGTATAACCACATACACCAAAACTCTGTCGTTTATCTTGTTTAAAGAGATTTCTTGTTTTAAATAGCCTTACAATGTTTAAATGTGCCGGAGGAAAAGGGAAGGGCGGCAAAATTGTCGTAAACGCTTAACAAAACGTTCCCATAATATATAAAATACTCCATGTTAAACAAACAAATAGGGCTGCCCACAGCTCAAGACATGGAACAGTGTAAAAACGCGAAGCGTCCCGGGACAAATATTCCCACGCGCAAAAAACAGCCTTATTTAAATACTTCGAATATATATGTCAACTTGCATACTTTACACAGATGCATAGGTTTTATTCTGACTATAAGACTGGAAAATCCTCTGCAGTCAGCTCTATATTCAGTACATTTTACTTGTGGAAAAATCGACATTTTGTATTTTATGGCATTTTTTTTTTACATCGGGTCATGAAATTTTAAAGAATAGAAAACGATGTACTCAGGTTGATGTCATTTTCAGGAATCAGTTTCCAAAACACTTTCTTATCCTCATTATACATACAAAATTGGCCAGATGTTTTATTGCATGAATAACTAAATGCAAAACATGCGTCCAAATATAATAGTACAGTATACGGACCATTGGAGTTATTATAAAATAGTATTGTTTCAGTAAAGTTCGGAGCTTTTCAAGATGGCAAACACTCCGACAAAACAACTGACGACGGTATGTGGTTTTGACAACAAAATTCATTTCATTTGTGTTATTTGAAAAACAATCTTTCACTGCTTTAAAAAAGTAATCGAATTGGACAGAATTTATAACAACATCACCACGACACTCTTAATAATTTATTGTACTGATATATTGAGAAGTAGCTCAAATATGAATATAGAGGGCAAATGATACAAATTTACCAGGAAAGTAGCATTTCAAGACTTGCATCAAGAGGAGCGGCGATTGGATTAAACAATGAACGATGTTTTTAGATGCTTTCCCAAACCTCGTACTTTACCTCTACTCAGACATTACCTGATTAAGATTGTTGCAAATTGCATCTTTTTCGAATATCAAGTAACGCACATTCAAATTCTTTGGATGGTATATAGATATATTCTTAGATGCAGGCCGCTCGATTAACAAAACGAGGAAAGCATATTTTAAGTGCTTAAAAAAAATGTGAACAATTGTTCTAAAACACTACCAAATGTTGTGAAATAACCATTGGGGTTCGTGCACATGTCACAATTCTACTGATATTATCGCTCACACAATTATTTAACTATTTCGGCAGCTAATTCATGTTTCTACTCTCGAAACCGCAGCCTTAATCGAAGAAAATCCACAACCTCTATTGTTGAATTTCGAATAACAACCTGGTACATTGTAAGTGACAAACCATGTGCAAGGGGAGATCACTCGTAAACTTATGGCAAGGTTTAAGAATTCTACATGTACATAGTTTTTTGACGTGCATTTTCGGATGCATCTATCTGATGTAGTGTGTATACGCTCCCTATCGATAGGCGAAACGTCCCGGGTCGAGTGCCATAAAAATATACAATTTCATCACATCGTTGTACAGGTAAAAATACAAATCAATCACTTAGTAATAGCTTGACAAAGGGACCAGTCGGTCTTTGAAAAAACGTTGCGACAAGTTTAGTACGTACATTGTTTGTGTAGGAAGTAACACTTTGATGTATGGATTTCCGATTTACATGTTCTTGCATATTTATTTTACTAATTGAGCTAAACCATTGAAAGTTGACTCACTAAACACACGTAGTAAAATAGAGGTATTGACTTACTAGCTTTGGAAGAAATACATTTTATATAAACATGTAGTCTATCTCTTATTGTGAAAACAGTGCAAGCGCCGTCACATTTATTAGGCAAATGTCACTATTATTGAAAGTGAAGCTTGCGACAAAGAATATATGTAAGACACTGTATAGCAGTATCTGTTCAATTAGCCATCAATAATTATGTTTACTTATTTATTTACTTATTTGTCATTTCATGTATTTACATTTCTTTATAAGCATTATAAATATAAAGTACCATTTTGTTTGTATATGGTAATATGTCGCTTTCATTTATGAAAACAGGCCATGTTATGAAAAGATACGATATATAAAGTTAATTTATGAGCCTAGGCCACTCGGCCCTCAGCTCAGTCTAACGTTTTTATACGGTTGAAGTACGTTACCAGGACATTCTACTATTATTTTTGTGGTTTCAACTTGTCACAACCATCCTGATTTCAGATCGATATGTCTTTCACTAGCCAGTAACGCAAAAAGTGCAGCTGCGCGTGACACATGTATAGAATAAGCTTTAAATATGATGCAACATTCTTTATGCAGGCATCAACCTTAATGCATTATTACTAACCGAACTAGATTCGTTCTGTATAATTTTTATTAACAAAGTTCAAATTCAATATGTCCAAATAACGTATCTCTATACCGATGTTAAATTTAGGTTTTTGAATATTAGTTAACATCGGTTGGAATTTACAACTACCATTTTATCGTCTCTCATTAGGTTTGTTCATTCTTTATGATATTCTCAGTTTTCTAATATAAATGGGAGTTGCCTCCCTTCTCATCGGAAGCAAAACGCCATTTTTGTGCTGTTCCTTACGACAAAAGGTATTTATGCGTGACAGCTTTTACTGAATCATCATCCATAATATGTTTTCTTTTGTAACAGAACTGCTTTCAAAATTTTACGCAAAACAACAACATGTAATATGATCTTCATTGAAATAAAGCCGAAATTCTGACATTTGATTCTATCATTTTTTTCTTTCCGAACTAATTTGTTTCCGATGGGGGTTTCTCTGATAAAATTGCCTTCATATCAGCTGGATGTAGTGAGAAAATTCAATGCGGGAAGGGGTAGAGGGAAGGGGTAGAGGGAATGGAGATTAAACAAACAACAACAAACAAAAAACTTACCATATTTGATACGAGAAA